GTGCTGGCGTTTCTTCTGAGGCCCTTACAGAGCGCCGCTCAGCTGGTGAACGGCAGCCGTGCTACGCCTTTCAAGGAAAATTTTGCTTCTTTGGCGCACGCTGGTAGCGTAGGTTTTTCGAGCTGAGTCATCAAGCTGCCTAGTAGGTTTTTGAGTGCAGGTTGCATTCTTGATCGAGTCGGTCACTCAGCAGAGTCTGCTTCTGTTCCGCAGCTATTTGTGATCTTAGTAAGTGTTAGCTTTGTCGCTCCCCAGCCATGGCAGCCCCTTCGGAGGAGCAACTGTGGCCCGGGCCCTCAGTGGGGTGCCCAGGGGATCTTCCACTGCTTGAATTTTTTGTTGCAGGCAGCACATATGGGCATGCCGTCCTTAAATTGATGTGCAGGCCTCTGTCGAATTCAGCTGGCGCGTATCGAGAGCTTATCCCGGTGCGCGCGTGAGACGTGCATGTGGGGGCCATGCGCGGAAACAAAGCCTGAGTCACAGTGGCCACACTGGAAGGCGACCTGTTGCGATGCCGCAGTAGGCTCCATGATGTTCAAGGCCTCTGCAAGTATGTCTTGCAGATCTTGCAAGACATGCGGTAGTTTGGTCACGTCCGCTGTTTCGCCAAAGCCCCCGACCGCTGACCCGGGCTCTGTGTGGGTACCGTGTAACATCAGAGGGGACGGCTGGAATGGCCAGTGGCCCGGTGTGAGTGACCAGGTTTCCGTTGGCAGTAACGGAGAGGCAGTGCCCCGGAGTCTGTTCCGCATTCTGTCCCTCAGCTTGTGCACCGGATCCTGTATCGAGTGAAGTGAGAACACATCGGCCGTCGGGATGCGGCTGACATGAGCCTGAGCGAGCTTGTGGGTACCATCCACACAGGATGAGTGACGTTGCCTCAGTGCGGCCGACGTCAGGCAAGCCCGTCACGAGCGTCGCCCAGACTGTAGTGAACCAAACTCTTAGCCTGGCCGTTGCATACGAATCGACGCAGCTGCTGGGGCTCTGTGAGGCGGTCTCGCAAGGGTGTGCTTCCCAAAGTTACCATAGGAGATCGTCCTTCCGTCCGAACCGTGGCGGTTACCACTAAATCACTATATCACTATGTCACTATATCACTATATCACTATACCACTATACCACTCTACCACTATACCACTCTACCACTCTACCACTCTACCACTCTACCACTCTACCACTCTACCACTCTACCACTCTACCACTCTACCACTCTACCACTCTACCACTCTACCACTCTACCACTCTACCACTCTACCACTCTACCACTCTACCACTCTACCACTCTACCACTCTACCACTACGACTACCACTCTACCACTCTACCACTCTACCACTCTACCACTCTACCACTCTACCACTCTACCACTCTACCACTCTACCACTCTACCACTCTACCACTCTACCAGTCTACCACTCTACCACTCTACCACTCTACCACTCTACCACTCTACCACTCTACCACTCTACCACTCTACCACTACCACTACCAGTACCAGTACCACTACAACTACCACTACCACAACCACTACCAGTACCACGACCACGACCACGACCGCGACCGCGACCGCGACCGGGACCACGACCACTACCACTACCACTACCATACCACTACCACTACCACTACGACGACGACGCCGATTACTACTACTACTACTACTACTACTACTACTACTCCTGCTACTACTACTACTACTGCTACTACTACTACTACTACTACTACTACTACTACTATTGCTGCTACTACTACGACTACTACTCCTACTACTACTACTGCTAAGAGCGCAAGGCCGCTGTTTGATGCCAAACTTTTGCTAAGCTTGCAAATCGTGCTAAGCCTGCAAATCTTGCAATCTCGGTCTGTCAGTGGTGCAAGCGGTTCAAGTGGTGCAAGGCAAGGTGGGCAAAATTAGCAAGATAATTATCCCCTCCCTTCCCACCACCAAGTGGTGCAAGTGGTCAAGTGGCGCAAGTTGTGTAAGTTCAAGCGGTGCAAGTGGTTTTTGGGCAAGCATGGTGTCAATCTTGCACCCCTGCGCAAAAGCAAGATTGCAAGATTGACGGTACGATCTTGGTCGAATATCCGACCTTTTTCCTAACACACTGTACCACTACTACTACTACTACTACTACTACTACTACTACTACTGTCATCATTATTATTACTACTACTACATCTACTACTACCACTACTACTACTACTACTACTACTACTACTACTACTACTTCTACTACTACTACTACTACTACTATTACTCCTACTACTATTACTACTACTACTACTACTACTACTACTACTACACTACTACTACTACTACTACTACTACTACTACTACTACTACTACTACCATTACTAGTTTCTCCTACTTCAACAGCGACAGCAACCAAAACGGTTATTACCATTACTATTTCTACTACTACTACTACTACTACTACTACTACTAGTACTACTACTACTCCTGCTGCTGCTGCTGCTGCTGCGTACTACGACTACTACTACCACCACTACTACTACTTCTACTACCACTACTACTACTACTACTACTACTACTACTACTACTACTACTGTCATCATTATTATTATTACTACTACTACTACATCTACTACTACTACTACTACTACTTCTACTACTACTACTACTACTACTACTACTACTACTACTACTACTACTACTACTACTACTACTACTACTACTACTACTACTACTACTACTACTACTACTACTACTACTACTACTACTACTACTACTACTACTACTACTACTACTACATTACTAGTTTCTCCTACTTCAACAGCGACAGCAACCAAAACGGTTATTACCAGTACTATTTCTACTACTACTACTACTACTACTACTACTACTACTACTACTCCTACTCCTGCTGCTGCTGCTGCGTACTACGACTACTACTACCACCACTACTACTACTACTACTACTACTACTACTACAACAACTACTACTACTACTATTTCTACTACTGCTAGTACTGCTATTACTTACCACCTCTACTGTCCCTGCTATCACGACGACGCCGACGACGACGACAGTTGCGACTACGACAATGGCCATAGACTTTGAAATTGTGCCTCTTGTCTCCGGACTGAAATCTGCAGAACCCATGCGTTAAAGTATCTAGATAAAGAAAGGTGCTCTTCGTCAATGATTTGAGATCTGCGCCGGTGAGCCTTCAGCTTTAAGGTTTAAGCATTGACAGGGGCCGGAAGGCGGGATCCTTCGGTTTCAAGCTTCAAGCCTGAGCATCTACGGAAGCGCACCTGAACGCTTTGACTTAAACGTTGTCGCTGAACCTCAACAGATACAGAGACCAAACAAAAGCCTCGAGCCAGGCGAACTGTTCCAAACTCTCCGGGAGACCGTTCGCCGACCCGAACGCCGTGCTTGATGCCCTACCACCATCTGGTATTGTTCGACCTTTGCGGGTGAGCCTTCTGTCGGGGGTTTGACTGCAAGGATGCAGGGGCTTAGAGTTGGGAGTCTCGCATTTCAAGGTTTCGGAGTTCGAGTTTGTTTGGCGGTTGAGGGTGCAGTGTCCGGCAGTTTCATTTTGGCAGTTAGACTGCACAAATTTGAGTTCAACTCGCATGAATGTGTGTGAGTTTGCAGTTTCGTGTCCTCCGCTTGGGGACACAGGCTGTCAAGTCTTGGACGGAAAAGCGTGCTGCATCAGGAAAAGATAAACTTGCATGAAGTTTCCGATGTTACTGGCATCAAAACACAAAGTAATGACGCAAGGACGCTTGTGTTTGCAGCTCCAGGCTACCGCTCCACAATTCGCTCCAAAATCTCGATTGTGAAATCTGCGTATGCTCTGTGTCTGCAAGTAAGAAATAGAGTGAAACAACACGAACATGTCACAGAATAGATTCAACTAGCCTGGACACTTACGACCTGTGCGGAAAGACGTCCTCAAGCAGCACGCAACAAGTAATCGCAACCGGTCAGAGAATCGAAACATCTACGAAAGTTTGAGTGTTATTCGGGTTCGTAAGGAAGCCAATAACAATCCTTATGACAACAATGCTGGCCGGCTCCGGTTGAACAACAACAATATAAAAAAAACAAGATGAAAAGCAGGAAGTATGTGTGTATATATATATATATATATATATGCCCATATATATATATATATATATATATATATATATATATATATAAGTAATTCCATCTCGAATCAATAATACCTGGTCTCTACTATTTCAAATTCTTGACAATTAAACAATACGACATGTTAAAACTAATTATTCGTGATATTACGAAAGCTAGTGCAATTAGTCTTTCGTTTCTATCTCCGTTAAGAGTGGGGGACTGATGGGTCTGAATCCGTTGTACTTGTCTTGAAAAATCGATCTGAATAGGCCCTACTCCCCCCTCCCGTTGGGGGAGTTTCATTATGAAATAAGGGCTGAGCGTGGACGCGTCGAGGATGTGCGAAAAACTAATACGAACGAAATATCGGTATGTGCACGTCGTTTTCAAAAATCTAGGACGTATCGTAAAAATATAATATAGCCGGCAGTTTCGGCACTTCGGATCAGGAGTAGCCAACAAGTGAGACAGAAGGTTCCTATTTTGATAGACCTTGCAGAAGGATTCTTTTTGCATCGGGGGCGAAAACTCAGGAAAGTTTTGATAACTAACCTTCCGCTCGGCGTCTCGAAGTTGAACATCTGATTGACTTTCACTATTTTATATTTCAATGACTCCGATTTGATTGCAATTTCCATTCCATTGTATATCCCACTTGACTTTCGTTTCTCTTCTCCCAATTGGCCTTCCAGTTGAAGTGCAGGTTTGTGTAGATTTTACCCTGCCTCCATTGCTATTTCTATGGTCCTTAGCTACATCTTTACGCGACGCTTACTTGGCCCAAGTCCCCATTGGAAAAAGGTCCACAGGGTTGACTTAACGGTAACAAGCCGTGCTAAGCTGTTAGCCTGAGAATCTTCAGGTTATCAGCCGTAGTTTGCTCCGTAATGGATCTAGTGCCGTTCACAGCGGCCACGGGCAACAACGGTGATGGTGGTATTGGTGGTAGACAGGAGCAGGAGGCCAACCAGTATTTCTTGCAGCTTTTGCAGGAAAACAATCAGGTCAATGTCTTCCTGAATGACCCCCGCATCCAAAGTGCTTTGGAGCTTCGTGCAGAACAGAGACACCGCTTTGCATTGGACAACGTGTACGCCGAAGCCAACGCATACATAGCACATCTAGAAGCAACAGCGGATGCGAACCATCGCCAGCAGCTAGCATTCGTGAGCCAGTCAACACACCGACTGGTGGGGCAACTTCACAATGAAGTCCGAGTGCTAGAGACAATCGCCCGAGCAGAACGACAATCAGCCAATGAGCTGCAGGCACAGCTGGCACGCACACAAAGGGAAAGTCATGATGAACGGTCTATGGCTATGCAGTTTGATGCACATCGATCCGAGCTGGAAGCAGCAGCACGCACGCTCACTGCGGAAAACAGACAGCATGAACGCCGTTGCGCGGAATTGCGCGCAAGTGTCGAAGAAAACCATAGTGAGCTCATAGCCTTTTTGGGGTCCGAGTTTGAGGAAAAGCTTCAGTGGGAAGAAAACGAATGCCATCATAGGCTAACCTCTGAGGTACAGCAGTACGATAGCTTGGTTGACGACCTGCAGGATCGGAATGCGGAGCTTTTAGCTGAGGTCGACTCACTCAGGACTGTCTTGTAGACAGCGGAGAGTAGCCCACCGCAAGGTGGTGCCGTGCCGGTGAAAGTTGATCCCAGTGAGAGCTCCAAGCTTCAACCAAGCCCACCGCAAGGTGGTGCCGCTGCGCCGCTTGTTCAGGGTCCTAGCAGTTCATGGATTCCGACCGTTCCGAACCCCAGGGAAATTCCTGCGTCGCTTCGGACGGTTTTGGGAAGGACCCAACGGTATGACATTGGTGAGCCTGATGATTCCAAGGCCCCCGGCGTAGAGGTATCTACTGCTGAACAGAGTGATAACAAAGAACCGGCAAACACCACTGAAAACAAAGAGCCTAGCGTCATTCTTGCTGAAGCACTCAAGTCAGTTATCCAGAAGCCTGATGATGACAAACCCAAGGCTAAGGAAGCTGAGACTGTGAAGCTACCCGACTTCCCCAACCCGGAGACTTACAGGAGTTGGAAGATCACGGTTAGGGAGGCAGTTCGGGCGGCATCTGACAAACCCGATGAGGCATTCAAATGGGTTCAAGAGGTTTACTCGAGGGACGCCGATTCGGAGAAGTTGAGGGACACGGGTAAATTCCTCACTTTGGACACAAAGATCCTTTCGGCACTCTCGAGGGTCGCAAAGGGGGATCTTGGACGACAGATCATTAACTACAAAGAGTCTGAGGCAGCTGCAGGTAGGGCCGTTCGTGGTAGGCAAGTTCTACTGATGTTCGATCACTACTTTAAGACCAATGAAGAAGCAGGTTCCCTCTACTCTGTGGAAGATCTTCTCAAGGTCCAGTTGAGCGGTGACGACCTTAGCACGTTCATTCACAACTGGGAGTCGGTCATCGCGGGGTTGAATCATCAACCCGAGGAGACTACATTGAGAGATATTCTACTTCGGCAGCTTCGCAATTCTAGCAAGCTCAAGTTTGATCTGGAAGTCTACGACAGGGCTAAGGAAGGAACAGAACAGCGCACTTATGACTACTTGGTCAAATGCGTTAAGGAGCTGTTGGCTAGAGATAGGACTCGCAAGAACCGGACAGCCATTGCCAAAGCTCACGGCGCTAGGTTTGGTGCCCCTGCTCCTTCCGACACCCCGAACACCCCTCGCGGCAGAAGCCAGGACAAACCCTGCTACGCTTTCCAGCGTGGGAAGTGCCCACGAGGTGACAAGTGCCCATACAAGCACGTGAAGCCTACTCCAGAACAGACCAGGGGCAGAACACCTCCTCGAACCCCTTCGAGAAAAGGCGGAGGTAAAGGCGGCAAAGGCGGGGATAAGAAAGACACCTCTAAGATCCCATGCATTTTCTATCCCAAGGGCACCTGTAAGAACGGGAAAAACTGCCCTTTCCTTCACAAGGATGCGAGCCCCTCTGTCCCGGCCAAAGGCGATAAACCGGACAAGAAGCGATCGCCCTCCGGCAAGCGCAGGCGACCTAGCAAGAAGAGGACCAAAAGCGAGGAGAAGACAGCGGCGTGTTGCCTTCCCCTTGCAGCCACCCTCACGGGTGAGCCCTCGCTCAGTGCTGGGAAGTCCTACGCAGTAGCAGCCCGCAAGGGCCATGCCGTGAAAACAAAGGCCAAAAAGGTTCAGTTCTTGAGGCCAGAGATCATCGACATTCCGCTTGAGGGTGAAGGTTGGAAGTTCGTCACAGAGAAGCGCAAGTACGATTTCAGGTACAAGACGACGGACAAATGCCCACCATCTGACCCGGAGGACACCGAAGAAGCCTTGCAGAACGCCCGTCACTTGGAATCCGCAGTGAACGGTATGAGGCTTAAGGTTCGGGTCAAGTGCAGCTACAGGTGTCGGGGTAGAGAAGGATTCTGTAAGCACTGCAAAGAAGCAATCCCCCTGCCCCAACTTGCTGCAGCAGCGGTGACAGGTGAGAACCTCGAAATCATCGCAGGCACCGGTAGCGAAGAAGACTTGATTAGTCACTCTGATTTGGAGGCCCATTTCAAGGGCAAGGCTAAGAAGGTTGCTTCCAATCCAGTGAGTTTGATCACTGCTAACGGACCAGTAGACGCTGAGACGAAGCACGAGGTCTACATTGAGTCATTGAGGAACCCATTGCAATTCGTTGAGCTCCCCAACACACCTGCAGTTTGCTCTGTAGGAAAGAAGTGCATGGAACAGGGGTTCTCTTTCCACTGGCCTACGGGTGAGGCGCCATATTTCATTTGCCCAGACGGTCAGAAGATGAGTTGCCAACTCCGAGGCAATGTCCCCGTATTTGGCGACCGAGGACCATTGATGGCATGCTTAGCGGCAAAGTCCTCAGAATCTGATGGCAGCAAGGTTGCACCGACCTCTGTCAAGTCCGATTCGGGTTTTCGGTAAACAGCTGCCCGCAAGGGCATGCCGCACCAGCTAGAGGAGAGCACGAACATGAACCTGAAGGTCCAGCTGGCGCGGCGGAAGATCCCATCGAAAGGATGGCGAATTGTATTCCTCCCATTCCCGGGGTGGAAACAAGGCAACTGCTAAAGGCAGGTTGGACGGTCATCAACGGCAGCCCCGCTGCCAAGGTGGCTCATTTCCCAAAGACGTTTCGAACACCGGCTCCTAAGTTCCCGAGGTATAGAATCCGGACTACTTGGGGACTCAAGGATGACGTGTGGTCTTTGTTGGAGGATTCGGTCAACATTGATGAATTGGACGGGATCTATGGGGAAGTACCTGAAGGGACTATTGCAACGATCACATTGTTTGCTTTGCCTGAATGGGAAGTTGAGGCGCAAGCCGACAGCGATGTCGAGCCATACACTACGCCAAAGAAGGATGAAGCTTCCTTGAGGGCCGAGGCTGTGTCTTTGGAACATCGACTTACCCATAGGCCAAAGAATCCGTTCTGCCCGATTTGTCAAAGGGCCAAGATGTATGCGCCACAGGCGCGGAAATCTGGTGGATCCTCTACAATCTACAGTAAATCGTTCGGTGACCACATCACGGTAGATCACATCGTGACTGCTGATGCCAAGGATTACGGGTTCCAAGAAGAAACCGTGGCTCATGTTGTGAAGGACGTGTACTCTAAGTTCAGATATGTGTATCCTTCCAAGACAAAGTCTGGTGAGCAGTGCTACGAAGACATGTTGCACTTCCTTGGTACAGATGATGAGGTAAAGGTTATATATTCCGACAATGCGTTGGAGTTTGACTTTGCGGCCAGGCAGCTTCGCGCTCGTCACAACACTTCTAGGGAGTATGTGAACGAAAACAAGGCCGTAATCGAACGAGAAATCAGAACCATTTTGGAAGGCACACGGGCCAATCTAGTGCAATCAGGACTCCCAGATCGCTACTGGCCTCTTGCATCGCAACATCATGCTCTGTGTCTTAACATCACTGCGAGGATTGACAATGGCCAGATTCCGTGCGAAATCAGGTATGGTGAGAAGTTCAACGGCATGCGCATTCCCTTTGGAGCGAAAATCCTTTACTGGGCCAACGCAAGCCTGAACGATCCAAGTTTTCTGGCACAGGGATTGAAGGTATATTCCTCGGGTATCACATTCAACCTGGTTTTATCTTCAAGCTTGAGTACGTTGTTGCTCCCCTACACAACATTGAAGCCGCGTTGGAGAACGAAGATCTACGTGTGTTTCGCACCAAGAGACTGGAGCTGCCCGATGGTGACTTTAAGTTTCCTTTGTTGCAAGAGCCTGCCTTGGATAAACCACCAAGCCTGGATGCACAACATCACAATGTCCTTGATGAGCAAAACCCGCATCCTCCTCTGGAGGAAGGGGGGGGATACGATGAAGCCACAATTCAGGAACAGCTTAGTGAAGACCTGGATGAAATGTTCCCAGAGCTATTTGGTCCTGATCGTGATAAAGATCCTCCGCCGAAGGACGCGAAAGAAGCCACCTGCAAGGGTGAGTCGAAGTCTGATTCCCGTGCAGCATTGCTTGATGATGTTCCGTACTCTGTGAAGCAGAAGCTGAAGTCAAGCGCAGCAGTAGCAGCGCACGAACCACCGTATGGTTATGTGTGGAGTGGGGAATGTTTGGTCAAAAAGAACAACAGGAACCGCCCCAACGCTATCGATCATACTGTATGGAAGTCTATGTCGAAAAGACAAAGGGCAACAGCAATCGCAGAACATGAGAAGAAGCTACATGAGGAGAACGAGGCACTGTACCGTGAAGCTGTGAAAGTGGTACCTGCAATGCCAGTCCTACATGGGTGTAGCGAGGAACATCGGGAACGACTTAAAGGGCTATACGACAAGAAGCTTTTCCAGATCGCAGATGAGATGTCTGCTGTTGTCGCCAAGGTCCTGTCGTCTAAGGAGATCGCATCGAACCCTAAGGCGCAGGCTGCTATGGACAAGGAATGGCAGAAACTGGTTGACAAAGGCTGCTGGGTACAAGGCAAGGTTAGGGAGTTCGAATCCGTTACCAACGAAGCTAAGAAATCTCAGACCAAGGTACATTTTGGCAATGTTTTTGAGATTGGTACCCTACAGGGAGCCGAGCTGAAAGAAGGTGACCTTAATCGAAAGTATAAGGGACGTTCGGTGTTCCAGGGAAACAAAGTACTTGATGAAAACGCCGATCACGCGCTCTTCGCGGAGATGTCAAGCAGTCCTGCATCTATGGAAGCGGGGAAAATCCTAGACGTCTTCGGCTCCCAACCTGGTTATGTCATCCAGCAGGCCGACGCCAAGCAAGCATACACCCAAGCCCTGTTCCAAGGAGTTGCCACTTGGGTGAGATTGCCTCGCAATCGCTGGCCAAAGGAATGGCAGGGTATGAAGGATCCTGTTGTCCCACTCAAATTGGCGCTTTATGGACACCCCGATTCAGGGGGGATTTGGGAGCATCACTGCGAAACTGAACTAAAGAAAGTTGGGTTCGAGGCGGTACTGACGGACATTTGGAAGAGTGTATTCTACCACCCGAAGAAGAAGCTGCTCTTAGTGGTTTACGTCGATGACTTTAAGCTCGCTGGACCTAAGAACTCTATCAAAGAGGGATGGGACCTTATCTCGAGTGTCATTGACATGGATCTTCCGGAAGTCATTGGTAGATACTTTGGGTGCATGCACAAGGAAGAACACAACCTCAAGCTGCCCAAGGAAGCACATCCGTTCCATCATGTATTTGAACCCGAAGCTTCAGCTGCAACTCCTGCTAGAAAGGAAGATTATTGGGACGTTGACCCCGAGAATCTCTTAGCAATCCGACATCACCGCTACCCTCGCAAGAGACTTTACGTCCCCAACGAGGATGATGCTAGAATGTTCCCGGGGATTGGCCCTCGGCGTTACACGGTGGTGGCTAAAGCCACCCGCAAGGGTGAGTCGGAGGAAGTTGTTGTTGACAATTGCAACCAATCGCGCGATCGCTGCCTCCAGGATTGGTGGGACGGCGAAACCTACTTCGACCTCGCAGGCCGGGAACAGTCTGATTTCGAGCTGGCAGTTGCAGCTACCCGCAAGGGTAAGCCGGTTCGTAACAAGTCTGAGTCTGAGGCTAAGAAAGAGGCGAAGCAAAGCAAGTTCATCTCTCTTTCGCAAGATCAGAAATCGAAGCCTGGTGCAGTGACGAAACCAGTCACACGCATCACATATGACATGAAGGACTTCCTTGATTCTTGTGTTGAGCGTTATTGTGAGCTTGCCAAAGTTGAGCGCAACACCCTGAAACCAGCTGCGACTCCCTTCCATGAGCTCCGTGTGGCATTGCCAACGGCATCTGAGGGGGAAAAGGCAGGGCGGTTGCAACCGATCGCAAGTAAGGTATTGATGAAAATTTTATTTGCTGCTCGCATGGCAAGATGGGATCTATTAACGGCAACGCAGTCTTTGGCGTCGAGGGTGACCAAGTGGAGTCCAGATTGCGACTTGGGACTTCACCGGTTGGTTTGCTATATCAACTCTTCGCTTGATGTCACAATGAGTGGTTTCATAGGTGACAGCATCATGGATTGCAGGCTTTGGTTGTTCAGTGATTCCGACTTCGAGGGTGAGTTTGACTCAAAGTCAACAACTGGGTGTGCGATGTTTTTGGTTGGGCCAAACACGTACTTCCCACTCAATGCCTTTAGCAAAAAGCAAACTTCGATCACAATGAGCTCTACTGAGTCCGAAGTCGTAGCGGCAAACCACGGTTTACGTGCCGAAGGTCTACCGTGCCTGAGCTTGTGGTATTTCCTCTGGCGTGGAGATGCCGGCCGCAAGGCCGAGCCAAGGGCTGAGAGGGTAGGTTCAATAGTCGCACGCATTGATCCTGAACTTGACGAGATTCGTTATGGGTCCACTAGACCGGATGGGTTGTCGATTGCAGACATCAACGGCCTCTGTGTCCAACTTCCTGAAAGCTTTGAGGTTAGACATATGGAGGATAACCAGGCAACTATTACTCTTTTGTTGCTAGGGCAAGCTGGTGTTCTACGACACACTGATCGGACACAGTGGGTGAGTTTCTCATGGCTAAAGCAGCAATATGAGAATGGGCATTTCAAGCTACTGAATGTTGGTACAGCCGAACAAGTGGCGGATGTATTCACGAGGCCTTTCACTGAAAAGAACAAGTGGACGCATGCCTTGAAGCTTATTGGACATACAACCAGCGCGAACATAGCCGGGTGCAAACCCGAGTCGAAGGTCGAGGTCGACAACAAGGTTTCGGTAGCAGCAGCTCCGGATGCAGCAAAGACCGTCGAGGACTTCGCTAAGCAATCGTTCGACTCTAACGACTACAGTTTCAAGACCTTCGAGAAGCTAGCTGGGCTTATATGTACCAACCTCAGAGCATCATTGGCAAAACCGCGATCGTTTATGGCTTCTGAGACGATATCCAAGTACTTGGTGTTCGGAGCTTGGGTCCATGGTGGATGTTTTGGTATTACCAATCGCACAAAACAATACCCATGGATTTGCAAGTATGTGAATGAATTTATTAAGCGGTCATCTCCGGATGGGTTTACATGGACTTCGTTCGTGTTCAACTTCAATGGCAAGGCCCGTATTCACACGGATAAGTACAACCAGAAAGAATCGTACAATCTGACGTTCTCCTTCGGTAATTATACAGGGGGGACACTGTGGATTGAGGGCGCGAGTCAGTTGGGACCACCGGCAACATATACAGATGATCATGGCAAAGACCACAAAGGCTACAACTGCAATACATACCGCAAGCCCACTCTGTTGCATCCTTCAACAAGACATGGTGTACAACCCTACACTGGCGAACGACATTCTTTTATCGCCTACTCGTCAGGGGGGTACCAGAAGTTCAACAAAAAGCACAAGCAGTTCCTACATCAATCAAAGTTCCTCTTGCCTACGGCTCAGTTGAAGCTCCCAGCTCAGAAGGCAATGGTTTGTTTGAGGTGTGTTGGTTCCCCTCTCGATGAGGGGGGTAGGCTTAACAAACCGTGTTCTCGTTTCGAAAATGATCCGTTTGCACGCACATCGCTCGAGTGCACAAGCACACAACAAACTGCAAGCCTTGACCATGAAATCATGGCTCCCTTTATGTGCACGACTGCCATTGCAACTTCAGCTGGCTCTGACCTTCCTGACTTGCCCGAAGCGACTTCTACGATCCCCAGGATGGCAGCCATTGTTGTGAGCGACGAGTTCTGCAGGGTCAACACCTCCGAAGCAGACAGGACTGGGGTAACCAAGGCCATGAAGACCATTCTCCAATCCGCCGCCCTCAACAACGATATCATTTCGCTCGGCGCCGATCACGAGTATCAGCTGTTGGAGTCGCCATACTCCTGCGTATCCACCCAATGCGCGGCTGGGGTGTCTTTGACCCATGCCGACGCGACGTGTGTGGCGCTGCGCCAGATGGCTGACCTCAGTGACGAGGGACTCGCCAAGTTGAAGCCAACCGCAAGGTTGAGCCCCAAGGCCAAGCGAGCCATCATTGTCGTGTCCGACAGCTCCACCGCACTTTGCAAGAAGAACAGACGGGGAGTGTTCGTCAAGACCGACTTGGATGCGGAAGTGAACATCGCAAGCATGATGCTCGGATGGGCACAAACTCGCTACACTATGTGTTGGGGCAAAACCTTGGCGTGGATTGTCTGGCAGGTCGAGGAACACATCAAAGAGCTTCGCGCCAACTATCCGGACCACACCATCGACGTGATTTGCTGGTGGTGTGGGAACGAGATCTCTGGCCAGTCGGGCTGCATCCCCACACGGCTTGGACCGGGACTCGCATACAGAGATCCCAATGTCACGACGGAGACCGTTGCTCGGAAGGTGAGGCGGGCCGCAGATGTTTTAGCCGCCCTCCTGCCCCGCACGGCAGGCGCTCCCTCTTTTGTCGAGCCTCGCACTGAGCTCTTGAGACGCACAGTTCTCTTTTCCGGCCACGCTTGCTTTGCACAGGTCAATTTGGCCACGCTGTGGCCTACTCAGCAAAGGACTGCACTGCCCTTTTCCTGATGCATCGCACTGCATGCCGCACCAAGGTCAGAACCATGCGGTTTCCACTCGGCGCCTGAGTTTCTTTCTGTGACTCGCTTTGTCCTGCACGCGCGCATAGCTCTGCCCAAAGCCCCGCTCTGCTCAGGTCATTCAGCTCTTCTTCCTGGACGACTTCGTGGAGGACTGTTTTTTGTGCACTGCAACGCCGTGAACTTCGGTTGCACCGCCTCTGTTTTGCACTTGTTCGACGCATTGCACCCAGCACTGGTCTTGCGTTCATAGCTTGATGCTCAAGTGATCCAGCCTTTTTTGCACCGCACCGCCTCGCCACGCGCTACTATGGCAGGCACCAGCGCCGCATTGCAGGCGCTGCTTCAGGCGCCGCGAGAGCAGCGGGGCGCTGCTTTCCGTGTCCTCGGACACCAACGCATCGATGCCCTGCAAAGTGAGCTCAGCGAGGCGTGAAGAGAGGGAGCAGGATGACTCGGAATGAGTCTCCAGCTCCCTCTCGCACTGCATAGTCCCACGCCTTAGTTAACTTTACAGCATAGCTCTGCATAGCGTAATGTGTTGTACCCTTGCTTTGCACCGCACCGCATCTTGCAGTTTTTATGCTGCGCTGCAAAAGTGTAGCACCGATCGTCGGCCGCGCCCGGCTCGGAAAAACGCCCCGCAGCATGGCTCCTCGCATTGCACTGCCCAATTACACTCTGACTGTCTTGTGTCTCTCTTGTTGAACGCAGGACGCCAACATCGCATTGCGCAGCAAGGCCTTTTTTCGTTGCATTGCGTGTAAACTTTCCTTGCCGGTGCGCATCTTGCTTCTTCTCAGGACGCCTCGCCCGAGCACCGCCTTCGCTACGGGCATCAGGCATCCCTTAGCAATGCAGATACTGGCCGGGCCCTGATCGTCTTGCCTCTTTTCGTTCGAGTTTCTGTCGGCGCAGCACCGCACACGCGCAGCAACAGCTTCCGCAGCTGTTTCTGCTCAAACGATTACAAAGTGAGGCGCCGCTGGGCGCTCCAGAAAAAGCAACACGAAGCCTCTGCTCCAGCCTCACCTATCGAAGTGGAGTCGCAACCTGCATCGCCTAGCCGTTCGAAGACGGAACAGCACCGCTGTATAGCACAGCTGAGGACTTCGAGGCACACTTGGCCACATTGGCCGATGATTCGGCCTCGCATTGCATCGACCTTATAGGGGAGCCCTCTTTAGCACAGCCCTCTATCACACAAATTTTTTCCAGGCAGCGCAAATTGCAGGCACAGGCCAAGAAAAGTCCAGGGCAGGCACAGTCACGGCAGCTTGCCAACCGTGGCGGATTTGACAGTGGGGCCAGCATCCTCACAGGCCTCGCCCAAGAGAGGCACCGTTTACCCGCCGGTGCCTAGCACTGCACGGGCCCTGCCGCCGCCCAAGCGATCAAAGCCTGAACCCCTGCTTCGGTTCGGCGGCCTGGCGCCGCCTCCCCCACCACTGCCTCGCAGTCGGGTCAAGCACCCAATCCTAGCAAGCTCACGCAAAAGCCAGCCCTGCACTCCAAGGCCGTTGCCATCAGCTCAATTGCCACTGGCACCGCCTAAACCCCGAAGGGTCAAATTCAAAACCGTTCGCAGTTCGATTGCATCGCGAATGCAAATCTGTGGCACCTTGTGGCTTCAACTGGTCTACCGACTTGGCACGGCATCCGTCCTTGTCCAGTCTGTGGAAGCTGCAAAGCACGCATCCGATCACCTTTTGGCAGTCATTCGAAATAATACACCAGGTACTCTGGAAAGGTACCTTCGCATAGCGTCGCTCTTCATGGGTTTCTTGGAAAGCTCCGCAGTAGGCTTTCTTGAGGTGACACTCTACTGCCTTCTTGATTTCCTGGCACTTGCCGGAGCATCACATAGCCAAGACCTGGAAATCCACCGCATAAGCGCGAGCTCCTCCATCAAAGCACTGCGCTGGTTCGTGAAGCAAGCACAGTGGCTATGCCTTAGCAACGCACTTGACAGCCCCATTACTATGGGGCCTTTTCGCAAAGGGGCACAGCCAAAGATCGACGCGAAGCACTGCCCATTCCCTGGGCCCTGATAGCGGCCTGGGAACAACGCGAATGCGATGCCAACACTGAGATTCGGCGATCTGCGACGGATAGACTTCTCCAGCCTGTCTCTATCCACCACCGCGCTGCACGGCACATGCTGGGCAACAAAAACGACGACGCACGGCCAGCCGTTCGCATGAACTCTGGCCGGCATTACCGGCAGAAGCATAGCCACCTGTTGGACCCTGCGTTGGCTGTCCGCGCTGCACAAACTCACGTCTTCCTTTGCAGATGACGCACTGCCGGACTTCCTCTGGTTCAGCACGGCGCTGGACCAAAACTCTCTGGAGGAGCTCGCGCCTGCCTCTTACTGCACCGCACTGCTTAGCCTGCGCTACCTTGCCACCTTGCCTTGGAAGGTCAGCGGGAGCGGCCTTCTACCTAGCGAAGCCAAGCAGCTGACTCTGCACAGCATCAAAAGCACTCTGCTAGCCGCAGCCGCGCAGTTTTGGGCGTTTGCAAAGAACTTCGCCTGGCACAGGGACACCATAGGGACTGCGCCAGGCTCTATACAGCAGAAACAGGATTGCTTTGCACATGCACTCAGCACAGGCTGGAGGCCAACCGCAGTGTTTCTCGAGGGGGGCAGGCGCCCGTCCCCGAACCCCCTTTCGTCGCAGCATATCGCCGCAGGCAGTTTTAGCAGGCCCGTGGAAGGCCTTTTCGACACGGCGCGAATCCCTTCACGCGGCATCGGAAGCTTTGCTCGCAGCGACTCAGCTAGACCCAGCAACGCAACCCGCCACGCAACTCTCAGAAGAGATCATCGAGCAGTTCTCGTCTGAATCTCCGGACCCCATCCTACCATTCTCGGACGAAGAAGCATGGATGGTCGAAAAGGCAGCAGCCATGCACCGCACTAGCTCCGAATCATCCAGCGATGTTTCGTCCGTTTCCTCCAAGGAGCCACTGCAAATTGATGTTGAAGGGCCAGCGCCGCTCTTCGCATGTACCGGTCCCTGGGGATGTTGGCACTCGCTGTGCCCCCCAGATGAATCGGGCGTGCTGCGCGCAGCATGCGGAATCAAGCTGGGCACAGCAGCATTCACATCCAACGCACCGCCCCAGCCTCTGTGTCGTCGCTCGGCATGTGTGGCACTTCGCAACGGCGCCTAGAACAAAAAATGTGGCTGACTTGCAACTGCACGCATGGTCTTGGCATGCTTCTTGCCTTTGCGAACTAAGGTCCGAAGCCATGTGCGCCGCCAGCTTGCCTGCACCAGCACTCTTCCTGCTCCAGCAACGCAAATCCGCAGCCGTTTTTCTGCTCGAACATTAGCTACACCCAAAGTTCTTTAGCTCGCAAATGGAGTCTCCGGACGCACTTTCCGAAAACGCACATGCAAGTGCCCGAGGCACTATGCAACGCATTGCACAGCACTGGCATCGAATCGGTGCCCGATTTTGCTTTCGCATATAATAGCGCAGCCGATCTGGACGTCTTCTGCTCAGACAAGTACGGAAGATTTGTGGGCCGAGCTGCTTGCTGTTGATCAGAAAATCCTTGTCGATTCGCTTGCCCGACCTAAACCTGAGCAGCGGGCTGGCCGACGGGGCCCTAGAGACCTGCCAGGTTCCATCTTGTTGGCCGTGTTGGGGGCAGCGATCCATCCGGAGCTATATGCTTGGCCACTGACGCCTGCGTGGCCTCGTGGCGGCCACCCTTGGGGCCAACTCCCCTACAGCCCGAGGGGTATGACATGCCGGTGGATCATCTCAGGCTTAGCCCGGCATGGCTAGGCAGAATCCAAACTGTCTTCCGCAATGCCATCGCACTGTGCAAAGGCGCGCGTCTGCAGCGCCTTATAAGGCATACGACAAAAAGATTCTGGATCTGGCGACGCAATCGCCAAGCGACGCTTCGCTCCGCACAGTCACCACACAAGAGCTGGTCGCAGCAGACCGCGAGCTCTGGAGGGAAATATCCCTCCTGCACAGCGCCGGTTGGACCCTGGATGATGCATTGCACGAAATGACAAACATCCGCTCTGACATCGGCAATCTGCTTCAGCTTAGGGCCCGCCCCCCCCGCCTCCGCAGAAGCCACCGCCCTGCCTTCCGCATAAGGGCACAGGCAAAGGTAAAGGCAAGGAAAAAGGGGGCAAAGGCAAGCAAGGCACTCAGCCTGGTAAGAGACGCACGCCCGGCGATGGCACAGCCCAGGAGGTCAAAACATCGGACCTTGTGCAACAGCACGGCAACAAGACGTTTTGCATTCGGTTCAATAAGGGAAGTTGTAGGAACGCGCAGTGTAAGTATCTGCACGCGTGCGCATATAAAATGCCGAACGGCGAGCCTTGCGGAAAAAAATCATCCGGCCTGCCAGCACCGCAACCCTCAGGAAGCTCCGGGCTCCTGAAAACCGCAGCTGGACCAGACCAGGCAGGTCCAGTTGCCCAACGCTCCTTTCCCGCTGCGCCGCCGGGCGCCACCGCAAAGGGCACAGCTGCCCCAACAGCGCCAGAACCTGATTGCGCCGCACAGGCAGCTCAAGACGCGTCTGACGCTGCACAGCCTATTAATAGCGCGCACCCTGATCGCCCGCAGCAGCAAACGGCAACTGAGTCGCCTGATTCGGACACTGTCGGACACTAGCTCCGCTGACACAGAAGATGATATGGACGCACCCGCTAAGCATAGGTTCCTTCTGCACAGCATTGCCGAAGACCCTTTTAGCTGTGACAGGATAGCCTGCGATGCCCCGCTATCCGCCCAAGGACCCCTGGAGGACACTCAATATCATGCATGGCACAGCATAGTTTGGTCAGGCGCCCTAGGCTCAACATTGCTACTGTTCCCACATCATGCTTTTGACCACGACTCACACATCAAGTTGTGGGCACTGCTCCGAGCCGCGCACCTGCAGGGTAGCCAAGTGTTTTTTGAGTACCCGCAGTCATGCAATGGCGAAACTGAGAAACTGTACATACAGCTCTGCCAAGAACTAGCTGTACACTGCGTCCAAATGCAGATGCCCCAAAGCACCGCTAGGCACATCGTATGCTCCACGCATTCATCCCTCTCCACGGTCACACAGCACAGTGACCCTTACAAGCACCCCCTGTTACTGGCATCTCAGGAATGCACGGCGCATCTGAAAGCTCCTGTTCCAGCTACAGCACTGCAAGTATCTGTCTAGCTGCTTCCTGCCACGCAGACCCGCGGTGTGCGATGGAGCGGGAATGTTCAGCACGGCAGATCATTCGGCCAACAACACAAGCACTAAGCCCAAGCCCTTGGCAGGTTTAGCTAAAGCCTTTAAGCAGTACCTTAAAAAGCATGGCCTTATTTCACACATCTCACAGCATCTCAAGTCCGGCGCAGACTCACATCCTCTCAGTGAAGAGCATTGCATTGCTTTAGCGCACATCATGCACGAAAACTTGGCACCTATAGCAGTAATAAGGACCAATTTCTCCGCATTTCAGAAGGGCAGCCCTTTCGCTTGACCGCCTTGCAGTTTCTAGCACAAGCCTTGCAGGACAAAGATGCACAGCTGCCCATCATCTTGGATGAAGGGGTCCCCACAGGAGCCATTGGAGCCCTGCCCAGCAGTGGCCAATGGCCACCAGCGCAAGGCTCGCTGGACTTTGCCGAAGATTTCAGCCCCGCATCGCTTGAGCACTGCCGAGGTAACTGGCTGTTAGCTGAAAACAATCCCGCACTGCTGCAAGAGTTAGTAGATGAGGAAGTACGCAAGGGCTTCGTAGCACGTTTTGAAGGCTCCGAAGCGGACGCAAAGCGCAGATGGCCGCAAGGCACAGCCATAGGAAAGCTCAACATAGTCAACATAGTCATGGCAGAAGGTCGAGATCCCAGACTTGTCCTCGACAGCACCGTCTGCGGCCTTAATCCCGCAGTGCACCTGCCTGACAGAGTTTCTCTGCCTACCGCATCGGATGTGCAACACACTTTTCTTAGCGATGATTGCTTCGCACAGCTCTATGCATTGTCTTTGGACTTTAAGGCAGCGCACAAGTGCTGCAAGGTCCACCCGGAAGACCAGGGCACCCGAGTGGGAGACGCATTGTACTACTACTACAAAGTATGCCATGTTGGTGCGCGCTTCTCAGCATATTGGTGGCAACGCGCAGGTAGCCTTCTTCTGCGTTACATACACGCACTGCTTTGCGATTATCCGCGTCGAGCCTGGCTCTATGTGGACGATCTACTTGCACTGCTGCGCACGGCCGATAAAGACACAGCATGCGCACTCATAGTTGTCTTGCTGTCTGCCCTTAACGCACCGATCAGCTGGAAGAAAGCGCAGTTTTCGCAAAAGGTCACCTGGTGTGGCTGGACAATACGCGCGGACGCAGAAACCATTGAGCTTCGCGAGCTCAAATTGCAAAAGCTCCGCGAGCAACTTCTAGCCCTGCAACAAAGAAGCAAGGTGCAACGCAAGGAACTCGAAGGGGTGCTTGGCCTGCTTAATTGGGCCACTTCCTTGAGTAAACACATGCGACCTTTCATGGCACCGCTCTACAAAGATTTGCATAGCTGCATAGCTGCAAAGGCACGTTGCACAGCATTTCTCCCAGCATGTGGGGAAACTTCTTAGACAGCCTTGACAAGCGTGCCAAGCTCACGCGCGCCCCGGCTGGCACGTGGCTGCCTCGCAATGCACAGCTACTTGAAGTCGGCAGCCTTAAAATTTCCCAGAAGTCCGATGTGCCGCTGGTGCCTCCGTCGCACAAGCATCAATGGGTGCGCTTGGCCGATCCGCACCGCGCTGAAATCCACTTGCGTCATGAAAGCAAGTTTGTTCTCGCGTGGCTTCAGCATTGCTTTTCGCATGAACAGCCTCGATCGCTGCGCACAGCTCCACGCATGCACTGCTATAGCGCGGCGGACGCCTTCGCCGATACTCATCGCATTGGCATAGGTGGCTGGCTCAGCACATCCGACTCTTTCCTATGGTTCAGCGCCATCTTCACAGCAGAAGAAGTGCGCAAGCAATGGCCGCAACTGCAGGGCAGCATGCAACCATACATCGGATGCTTCGAAGCACTCGCACAGCTTGCACTGGCTCAGTGCTCCTGGAAGCTCTTGCGCAGCAAACAGGTACGCTTTGTCTTGCCCACAGCCTCCGACAACACCAGCGCCGAGTCTGGACTGAACAAGCTCTTCAGCACTGCGGAGCCCCTGGGGACTTTCCTTCGCTTAGCAGCCACATGGGCGCACCTGCACCGCGTGCAGTTCGAAGTAGAGCACCTCGCAGGTGAGAAAAACGTTTGGGCCGACAAACTTAGTCGAGGTTCCACAGACTTCCTTCAGCGTCGCAAGGCTGAGCAAGTTGAGGTTACTCTGGCACAGCTAGCCTCCGCACCGCACTGCGTGACATTGCATGATCTTACGCTGGAGTGGCCGCAACTGCTCCTTGACGCACAGCACGCCATGCTGAAATGAAAAAAGAGCGACGCCTCTCTCTCTAACCTCTTCCCAGTGCGCTTTCGCTGTTTTGTGTTTCGAAGCCCAGCCTCGCCAGGTACACTCGCCAACTCGCGCGGTGAGGGGTTTCAAGCGGAGGTTGCCGAAGTGCACCTAAAGTGGGGGATTAGCTCGGCATCGCTTGCCTTATCCCTCTAGGGAGCAATGCCTCGCGATGCACTGCACTTTCGAGCAACCTCTGCGAAAAAAGGAGTTCCTGCAGTTCGCACTGCGCTTCTGCTTGAGAACAGTTAAAGAGAACGCTAGTTGTGAGTTTGTGTTTTTGTTTCAACTGTGTTTTCTTAATCTGTGTCGAAAGAACTTTACCGCCCCGCACTGCTTTCGGCACTAGCACTCACAACTAGCATTCTCTCGCTTGCATCGCATGCAGATAAATTTTCACCCGCCCTCCACGCCCTGGGGGATTAGCTCGGCATCGCTTGCCTTATCCCTTTAGCGAGCAATGCCTCGCGATGCACTGCACTTTCGAGCAACCTCTGCGAAAAAAGGAGTTCCTGCAGTTCGCACTGCGCTTCTGCTTGAGAACAGTTAAAGAGAACTGCAGTGCTCCTGCCAGAAAGAGTGGCACTGCCTACGGCATCTGATGTGCAACGCACTCTCCTCAGCGATGATTGCTTTGCACAGCTCTACGCGCTGTCGCCGGACTTCAAAGCAGCGCACAAGTGCTGCAAGGTCCACCCTGACGATCAAGGCGCTTTGCTTTTCAGGGTGGGAGACGCACTGTATTATTATAAAGTCTGCCATTTCGGGGCACGCTTCTCTGCATATTGGTGGCAACGCACTGGAAGCCTTTTGCTGCGATGCATGCACGCATTACTTTGCGACCATCCGCATCGTGCATGGCTTTGTGTGGATGACCTCCTTGCACTGCTACGCACAGCAGATAAAGATACGGCCGCTGCGCTTATAGTGGCACTTCTATCTGCACTTAACGCACCCATTAGTTGGAAGAAAGCGCAGTTCTCGCAGAAGAAGTCACCTGGTGTGGCTGGACGCTCCGCACAGACGCAGAGACCATTGAGCTCCGCGAGCTCAAGTTGCAAAAGCTCCGCGAGCAACTCCTAGCACTGCAAAAACGAAGCAAAGTGCAACGCAAGGAACTCGAAGGGGTTTTAGGCCTGCTCAACTGGGCCACGTCCCTAAGTAAGCATATGCGCCCCTTCATGGCCCCGTTATATAAAGACCTGCATAGCTCTAAAGGCACGTTGCGCAGCATAGCGCCCACCATGTGGGGTGCATTTCTTGACAGCCTTGACAAGCAAGCAAGGCTCACCCGCACCCCGTCGGGCACTTGGCTCCCACGCCACGCACAGCTTCTGGAAGTGGGAAACCTCAAAATATCCCAAAGATCGGATGTCCCACTGGTTCCTCCATCGCACAAACACCAGTGGGTGCGCTTGGCGGACCCGCATCGCGCTGAAGTCCACCTGCGCCAGGAAAGTAAGTTCGTTTTGGCATGGCTTCAGCACTGCTTCTCGCATGAACAGCCTCGCTCGCTACGCACTGCGCCTCGCATGCACTGCTACAGTGCAGCAGATGCTTTTGCAGACACCCATCGCATGGGTATAGGGGGTTGGCTCAACACTTCAGAGTCTTTCTTGTGGTTTAGCGCGATTTTCACAGCCGATGAAGTTCGAAAGCAATGGCCGCAGCTGCAAGGCAGCCTGCAGCCCTATATCGGCTGCTTCGAAGCACTCGCACAGCTTGCACTGGCACAACGTTCTTGGAAGCTCTTGCGCAGCAAGCAGGTACGCTTTGTCTTGCCCACAGCCTCCGACAACACCAGCGCCGAGTCTGGACTGAACAAGCTCTTCAGCACTGCGGAGCCCCTGGGGACTTTCCTTCGCTTAGCAGCCACATGGGCGCACCTGCACCGCGTGCAATTCGAGGTTGAGCACCTCGCTGGAGAAAAGAATGTTTCGGCCGATAAGCTTAGCCGAGCCTCAACTGATTTCCTTCAGCATCTCAGTGCTGAAAAAGTCGAGATCACACTAGCACAGCTGGCGTCCGCATCGCACTGCGTGACGTTGCATGATCTCTTTTTGGAGTGGCCGCAACTACTCCAGGACGCGCCGCACGCCATGCTTAAATGAAAAAGAGTGACGCCTCTCTCTCTCTTTTCTCGGTTGACAGGTTGACAGACCGTCCGCTTTCGCTGCTCAGCTTTGGTTAGACCCCCGCCTCGCCAAGTACATCCGCCAACTCGCGCGGTGAGGGGGTTTCAAGCAGAGGTTGTCGAAGTGCACCTAAAGTGGGGGATTCACTCGGCATCGCTTGCCTTATCCATCAAGCGAGCAATGCCTCGCTCTGCATTGCACTTTCGAGCAACCTCTGCGGAAAAAAGGACCGGCACGCACTGCCTGAGTAGCTTGAGAACAGTTAGAGAACGCTAGTTTTGAGATTGTTGTTTTGTATCAACTGTGTTTTCTTAATCTGTGTCGAAAAAACTTTCACCGTTCCGCGCTGCTTTCGGCACAAGCACTCACAACTACTGTTCGCTTCTATCACATCGCATGCAGATAAAATTTTTCACCCACCCTCCACGCCCTGGGGGATTCGCTCGGCATCGCTTGCCTTATCCCTCAAGCGAGCAATGCCTCGCTCTGCACTGCATTTTCGAGCAACCTCTGCGGAAAAAAGGACCGGCAGCTCGCACTGCCTGAGTAGCTTGAGAACAGTTAGAGAACGATAGATTATCGAGTCTGTTGAGGGCAACCACACTCTTATTCAATAGCTCGGTGGGGTGAGCGACAACGGACAACATCAAGATCAAATCCCCACGCAAGATTAGCTTTTCAACGTTATCGGTCAGTTGAAAGTTGAAGTTGTTCATGTTAACCTGCCTTTTCAATTACATCAATCAATGATGCTTTTTTCGAAGCATCAGATTTTCACGGTGCGGACCTTGTTCAGTGAGGCTGGGTGACCGGGGTTCAGCAAAGCTGCTGCCAAGGATTTCTCCACCGCACATCGGTTTCAAACACGAGACGGTGTAGTGTTCGCCACGGATGTTTGAATTTGTCGAGCTATCTTAAGTGATTACTTCAGGTTCCTTGCGGATCCACCAGGTCACCAGGTCTCCTACCAAGGCACCCAAAAACTTGCCCCACGACGCCAGACAGACTTGCCGCCAGTATGAGCCTGTCTCTTCAGTGAAGGTGTTGCGGAGATGTGGTTCGGCTGCTCTCTGGAAGAGTTCTTGTGGGTCCTTATGAGTTGTCTTTCGGATTCGTGGGGACGAGGGCTCTGTCAATGAGGATTCTCCATTACAGCCATTGTAGGGTAACAGCTGCGGCGTCGAAGCTTTGATTCGCTGTCCGATTTCGAAGGAGTGCATCTCGAGACATTGTGCACCCCCTGTTTACCGAACTTCGTGATTTCTCCTTGCCATGGGTCAGTGGGCACTCTTCGGCCTTGGATTTTTTGGCCTGGGGTCCAAACTGGCCTTGGCTTTCGGGGGAAGCCCATCCACTGATGGCAGCTGCTTGCTGCAAAAGCAAAGGCCGGAGAAATCGATTTGACAAAGTTAGTATACATTTGGTTCGACTGACAGGTCGTAGGGTTGCAGCCCCGCCTGTCCGGCAACGCAGTGCTAAACCCTAAGCCTAAATCCGGCCACCGAGAACGTTTGACATTAAGGCAAAAAACAAGTGCACTCGCGACCTCTAGCTCTTAATCAATCATTTTCGTCCGTACACAGATCGATACAAGATTCACATATTAGGCGCACTTCCAACTTCAAAAGACTGCTGCAGAACTGTGTCCAGGGATGACGCCAGCCGTCACTTCAGTGACCTGTCCGGAGTGGCTTTGTCCACAAAGATCGCAGCACTGGCCGACTCCCTGGAACCCGGCGTCACGCGGGACCTCATGAACTCTTTCCGCATCTGCGGCTCCTGCAAGAAGTTCCGCCGTTTCTAGGTTAAAGCTGCCAGGGTGTTCTTGTCCTGTGCGGAACCTTCGGTCTTTTAGCCCTAAGCCCCAAACCATCCCCCCTTTACGATTTACGACCCAGGCCCCAAAGCGTACACTATATGTAGAGGCCGATCTGGAGTCTCAGAATGTCTAGTCAGCCAGGCTTTGGCGAGGAATTCGATGGCGGATATTTGACCTGCATGGACCATTTGGCGAAAGGAGATATTAAGGCAGCGTATTCTATGGGCATCAGTCATCACGATGGTTGGTCCAAGGACATCTCCACGAACTATGACGTGCCTGTGTTTCAATACGATTGCACCGTGGCTAAGACTGCCCAGGACTGCTCAAGCCCAGCAAGCACCGAAAATGATTCTCCTCTGAACCCTGAATCTTAAATCCCAAACAAATGTCCTAAGCCCAAGCCCGAAAGCATTAATTTTAAACCCCAAGCCTCAACCCCAGTTCCTGAGACTCCAAGACATGACAGCCCCACGATTTCACAGACCCACATCCAAAACTCGTCCAACGATGCCGAAGCACACCACAAGTTCAGGACTGCGACAAGTGTAGCTTCTACAGAGCTTGTCTCAAGGGTGAGGACGGTGATGCTGGCTTTCCGGATTCCGTGAGCCTCGTCCATTCCGCATGGCTCTACGGGGCCTTTGAGTTTTGTTTAAGCTTTCAGGTTTTGTGTCGTAAGGGTCTCTGGCAGTTGAAGACGTATGCACTAGACTAGGATGGTTAGTAGTAGGCTGATGCCCTCTCCAAACGTCTTGTCCTCTTGACAAAAACAAGGAGCATGACCTTGAAGCAAGTCGACATGCCGCCGTTATGTTATTGGCGGTTGACCGTTTGCTGGGTTTTCGCCAAGTGCTTTGATTCAACAGGGGTGTATATCTATATCTATATCTCCATCTCTACTTATATGTATATGTATACCTATGTCTATGTATACAACTATATCTATATCTATATCTGTATCTGTATCTGTATCTGTCTATGTACAATATACATACTTGTACATCTACACACACACACATAAGTACATACACATGTACGTACATATGTGTATATATGTATATGCACATATGCATATGTGTGTGTATATATATATATATATATGTATGTGTATACATGTGTATATATATATGTATGTATGTGTATACATGTGTGTGTGTATATATATATATGGTACCCCCCTCCGGTACCCAGGTTGTGTTATGTTCAAGTCAGACGCCTGGTCCCTAAGATGTTTTTTGTGTTCCTCGGTCGTTGCGTCCCTGGGAAAACAAGTTTTCGTTTACTGTGGCTCCCGGGGCTTCTAAGTGTAGCGTCTACTGCATTTTGCTCTCGAGCTCTCTCCAAATTCATGGAACGTGCTGGAAATGTGGGGCTCCCGAGGTTCTTCCAAATTCATGGAAATTGTTGGAAGTGTTGGTAAAACCAACAATTTCCATGATTTGTTTGCGGGGAATCTTGGAAATTGTTGGTTTTACCAACATTTCCAACAATTTCTATGATTCCCGAAACTACGGCTCCGGCTCCCGAAGTTTCTCCAGATTCATGGGAATGGTTGAAAATCTTGGTTTCGCCAGCATTGCTTGGACGTGCATATTTCGGGACGTTGTTACCGAAATTTGCGATTGAGCAGATGTTATGTACTGGCGCGCGGTGTTTTGCAAACAAGCGGGTATGGCATTTTTTGCATCCTTGATTAAACTCACTAGTTGCTCCCACAAGAAGCTAGGCAATTAATAGTCTCCGCTTAAAGACGCTACTGTGGGAACACTAGTTCATGGGTTTTCTGTTTATCACGTACAAGGCTATAACCCATGTCTAAGATTCAAAACTTCATTATGGGAAAGCTATTGCTGCACGAGCATGCTTGTGCCGGCTTAATCACCCACTTCTTAAGATAAATGTAGAAAGCATTTATTTGTGTCGCTTGGTGTTTGCATGGGGGTCTGTGGTAGTTGTGGTTGTGTGTTTTATTTGGTGTGGCACTTGTGCTTACAATAAAAACAAAGGGGCCCTTAGTCAATGAGACTACCGTTTGCACCAGAATTGTGACATACATCGTTGTCAACCTTGTCATCATTTGGTAGGTGCAGAATTTCGAAAACGATTCTGCGACCAATAAAATGGATATTACCTGTATGATGCACACACTTTTGATGAACTGAACTCGGGTTAATTAATTAAACATGTCGAAGTCTCCTGGCGTGAAAACACTAGCAAGTTCGACTGTGACTAACAAACAACAACATCCAACCCAGAGTGTAATACGCAGCCACGACGTGTTGGTTCATGTTTGACTTGGAACACTAACAACCCACTCTCAGCAGGTAAAAAAAGCAAGCAAACGTGTGACTTGGTTAACCCCAAATCATCCTACCAAGAAGTTATTGAAGCACACGTGTACGTATTCATGTGGTACTCTCTGGTAGGTTTATACTCAACTTAGCAGAATGTACAAAACGCAGGACTCAGCAGGTACTACATTTACTTTCTAATGCTTGGCTATTGTTAAGCAAGGTTCCTGAACAATATACGAAGTACTCCGAATAAAAAATCACAAGAGTAATTGACACAGTACAACTTGATGCATAAAGTAAAGAATCCGGGCGAGTTTCAGGGTTGGGAATTTTGGAATTTCTTTGCAAGCCACGAAGCACTGCTATGCTTAAGTTTCGTGAGCTTTGAGGTTGGGAAAAGATGAGTTTTTGAGCAGTACAGTGTTTTGTGAGGTTTTAACAACGAGACACTGCAATGCTAAAAAAAACAAACTTTTCCCAACCTCAATCCTCACGAAACACTGTAATGCTCACAAGGTTTCAATCTTTGTAAGGAATCTGAGATGCCAGAATATTTGGCTCTTTTGGGATTTTTGAGCCTTACAGTGTTTCGCGATGTCCAGGACAGGCCACGCTGTATCACAAGATAGACGGGAGCTCTCACCCGCTTTTAAAGGACTAGAGGTGCTACATTATGCATCTTGGGGAACAGCAGGAGTTTGCTTTACTCTTGCTTGCTAAGTATGTCTATCTATACATATATATATATATAGAAATTTGGATACTCCGATTTTAGGTCCCAATAACCAATAAACCATTCCTTCCCCCCCCTATGGGCCAGAGCTATTGGTGTATTGATTAGTGGCGGTTTGAATTGGTTTGTTGGTTCTTGGTTTATTGCTTTGTGTGTTATTGGTTTATGGGCTCTTCCAAGTTATAACCCAGGGGGTTGGTTCTAACCGTGATCACTAAACCAATAAGCCAACCACGAATACACCAATAACGGTTAAACCGATAGCAGATAGATCAACATAACAACACACCAATAACCAACAAACCAATTCCCTTCCCCCTATGGGCCAGAGCAATTGGTTTTGTTCGATATTGGTGCGTTTGTTTACTGGTTAGCGGTTTATTGCCTTGTTGGTTTCTGATGTTGCTAGTTTGTGGGTTTCTTCGTCTCCCTCCCCCCATGTGCAGGATCCACTGGTTTATCGGTTTTTGGTGGATTGGTTTACTGTTTATTCGTGGCTTGGCTTATTGGTCATTGATATATGGGTTTATTGGTTTGTTGTTTTCTGTTTCAAGGGTTCATTGGTTTTGCTCCATTAACCAATTCTTCCTCTCCCGTTTGGCAGGATGTATTGTCTTGTCGGTTTATTGGTTATTGGCTTGTTGGTTCATTCTAGTCATTCGCTGACGTACATATATGTACATATAACAAGTACAGGTCCTCACATTCAAGTGAAGATACCTGTGTACCTGTACATGAAAAGGACGCCACAACATTACTTCCTAATGCAAAGCTCAATGAACAGTTGCATGCAACCTACCTAATGTTGTACATGTTAGTGCGATCTAGCATCAATGCCAACAGTCAGAGACACCGCATACAGGTGCAGCTGAAGATGCAACATTTTGCGGTCGTAATTGAAGTTGTAAGTGTGGGCACCGACATGGATCTGCACGTAGCTGAAGACTGCACGGTCTACGTGAGTATGTGAGTGCATATGTCATGCTTAGCTTCATATGCCCGGTCTATCACCACAGATTTTTAAGGTGTATGTTTTAGGGTAGATGCTTTCGAAGGACAGACCTATGCATGGCTTGTAGCAATGTAGCACGGTATATGATGCAGCAAACGCAGCAATATACTGGTAGCATAGGTCAATAAGCATCTAAGCGGGTCACACGATTCAGACCGTGTTTTGCTTACCATGAAAGAGCATATGCCAGTGCATGGCAGCAGTATACAGGAGAGACCACTCGGTAATAGAAAGGCGCATAAAGACGGTAGGTAAGGGATATACCACGGCATTTTAGTCTTTCAAATGAAGCCTTACATTCCTTACATGTTCTCTTTTATACAGCTATGATTGTTTGTCGGATTGTCTGTTGTGGTTATATGGCGAAACTATTCAACACAGGTGCAAGGGCACTATACTGCTAAAATACTAAACCATCACATAATTCAACCCTTTGTCCTCAATGGGCAGAGACATAGGGAGAGAGGATCTCATAAACCCCTAAACCGTTAGGCCAGTAAACGAACGTATTGGTTTAAGGCGTGGAGGATTGGTCTAGTCTAATGGTCAAATTTTTGTTTTTTTTGGAAGGGGCTAAAAACCTAGAGGACCCGAAATAGGGGTGACCCATGTCTCTCGCACTCATTCTCTCGCTTTCTCTCTCTATATATACATATGTATGTGTATGAATGAGATGCTTTGCTTCTCATAGTGATTATTAAATTCCTCAAGAGGGGAAAGGATCTTCGGGCATTGGGGATTTCTTTGCTGCTCGGGATGGGTGGCAGATTTGAGCAAGACCGAAACCCCAATGCCTATGGCCGCAAACAAGAAGCCCCCGACCTCTGGAAGTTGCAAAGCCCTAAAGCAAAACCCTCCTGTGTCCGCAAAAGGCCCCATAAACCTTAAAGCTGCGCGGCAGGTCCTGACAAACACTACCAAGGCCGATATCCCAGATCGCTCTCTGCTGATGCTCAGATGCCTAAGTAGGCCTTTGCTGAGTTCCGGGTTTTAGGGCTGTAGAGTCAAGTTTTGTCTTGAGGCTTGGGAAATACTGGAGGGTTTCAGGAATTTCGAGATTGTTGTGTTTGGGGATGATGGGTTCAGGGGTTCAATGGGCTGGCTGAGGACACTGGCTCTGCACGGCTTAGCTGTTCGGATTGTCTACAAGCTCTTCAAGACCGCCTGTAGACGTCGTAGGTTTGCTGATCCTTGAACTCCATCATGCATGTGTGCATGTGCGCCCCCGTGCTCGCCGTGCTCGTTCTCTCTCTCGCTCTCTCTCTCTCCCCGCGGAGCACGAAGATGCCCCAGAGAGGGTACCAGCTGAAGGTCTTGTAGGTCTGTTTACATATGTGCGCATGCATACATGTGTTGGAGAAATATATATATATATACACACACACATACATGTACATTTTTATAACTTTTATATATTTAGATGTATTAGATGTATACAGATATGTATATGTATTTATATATACACACATAGATACAGATATGTATATATGTATATACATATGTGTTAGCACATAAGACCCCGTTCCCCGTTGGTTTGCTGGCCTGCCCGCCCGCCCAGAAGCCTTGCTCCCATAACCACCCCCCTACCCCCCCACCGTATCCCGTTGGTTTTTGTCTGCTCCCTTGCAAGGGTGTGGGCTTGGTCTTGAGAAAAAACTGTACAGTTTTTAGTACAGGTTTCATAGGAGGAGGGCACTTGCTTCAAGCTACCGTTAATCGCAGGTATGCAATGTGATGGAATGCGATCCTGCCCTTTGTACACATCCGAAGCCCTGAATCAAGCTCTGTGGAAAACTGTCATGGTAGCGGAGACCTAACCATAGAGCCCGCACGAGGTTCCAGGCCCTTCTGGTTTCACCCGATTGTGCTGGCAGCGGTGCTGGCAAATTTCTCCTTTGCCCGGAGCGGCTGCACTTTACTGGGCCCGCGCGGCAGCTGCACTTCGCTGTGCCTGCCTTTCACATTTTTCTGTGCAAGCCCTCCCGGAGTCGAGGCGTGTCGCAAGAACTTTTATTGGTTTGTGGGGGAGCAAGCGAGGCCCGAGCATTTCTGCAAGGGCCAGAGGAAGTGAGGTTCAATTTTCTTGGTTGCGTGGGCGGCCCTGGGAGGTGCAAGTCTTTGCCTGCATCTCTGCCGCACAGAGTGATGGATGGAACAAATGGTCAAGGAGTTCAGCCCCAGGCGGGGCACCAGCAGCCCCAGGCGGGGATGGATGGGCAGCAAGCCCATGCAGGGCAGCATCAGCAGCAGGCCCAGGCGGGCCAGATGATGCCAGCAACCGAAGTGGACAGGCTGGTGAGGCAGAGGATAGAGCAAGCTTTTGGAGGGGTGTTCGGCCGACTTCTGAACACAAGCGAGCGCACAGCCCAGGCAGCAGAAGCACAGGCGAATGTGCAGAGGAGCGACAATCTTATCAGGGGCTTGAAGCTGGACATGTTCAAGCCCACCACGCGTGAGGAGGAGCTGCGGGGCTGGAAGGAGTGGTGGTTGTCTTTTTCAACTTATGTTTGTGCCCACGACCCTGCTTATCAAGATGACTTCGGCGAGATCGACCTGGAGACAGCCGTGACGCATGATTTCATGGATGCGGCCCAGGTGGCTCGCAGCCAAAGGCTCTTTGGACTTTTGTGCTCGGTGCTTAAGGGCAGGCCGCTTCTTCTGATAAGGAGCCTCGAGGACGCGCTGCGGCTTTGGCAGGCCTTCCCAAAGGAGTTGGTTCTTGCTACTGTTGTGACAGGCCTCCGGGAACCTCTCCGGAGCCAGGTCCAGCTGAGGATGACGGAGAAGACCACATACAATGACGTCAGGGAGTGGGTCCTGCAGTTCGAGACTTGAATGCTTCATGGAGCTCTTCCCTTTCGGGCTCGAAAGGTGCCGCCTCTTGAGGCGGACCGCAGCCCACGTGTCAAGGGCAAGTACGGCAAGGGCAAGCAAGAGCAAGGACGGCAAGGGCAAGGACGGCAGGGGCAAAACGAAGGACGGCAAGGGAAAGACCAAGGACACAAGGGCAAGGACGGCAAATTGGAGCTGGTCGGGCGCTGGTGCTGGGAAAGGCTGGGGATCATCATGGCAAAGCCCTGGCAGGAAGCAGCCCTGGAACAATGGGGGCAAAGACTCGCAGCGTTCAAAGTCAAAGGGCAAGGGCTTTGGAGGTGGATGCGCCATTTGCGGTGACCTTGGCCATTGGAAAAATGAGTGCCCGAAGGCACGCGGCCGTGTGAACCAGATAAGACGGTCAGAGTGCCTCCGGGAGCGTGGCTCCAAGCACCACAGCGGTGTCTTGGGTGCCCTCGTCTCAGCACCTCGCGCCCAGCAGCAGCAGCAGCAGGCCTTTGGCGTGAACCTGGTTTCTGCGTATGCGGGGCACATGGACGTCTTTGATATCACGGAGGTTGACGCGACAGAGGCCGGGGGACGCGGAGGATGGGGCTATCCTGGCCTCCATCGCCGAGGGCGAGGCTTGCGGCGTGGACGCGGTCCCCGCCTACTTCCTGGACGCCGCTGACGGTGACGAGGAATGGAAGTTTCGTTGTGCTAGGTCGGCCCAGAAGTTGTTGTGGCAGTTCGGGCCGTTCGTGCCCAGGACCCTGTTGTTGTGGACGTCATCCTGGACAGCGGGGCCGATGTGTCAGTGGCTCCTCCGCCTTGGGAAGAGGACCCAGAGGGCCAAGGCAAAAGGATCCCGGAGATTGACACAAGGATCCTCCATGTGGGCCTCCGGACGGTAGAGGGCGGCGGGGTGACGAGTTCAGCGTTGCAAGGACGGAGTCGGTGATCGTCTCGATGGGCCGGCTTATCCGGGCCAGGTGCCTTGGTGATTTCCATGGAAACCCTACGACACGGAGGAATGAGCACCAAGTCCCAATACGCTTGAGGAGGAACACCTCGACCATGATGGCAACGATTGCGGCCATCACTCTGGGACAGGCGGAGGACGCTGGCTGAAGCGAAGTCAGGCTGAATTTCGCCTATAGAGAAACCGCGGAAGGAGCTTGACGTGGTCAACTCGAAAATCACCTTGAAGGACCAGACGGTGGATCTTCAATGCCAGCTTCACACACCACTCTGCCTGCACCATGCTCTTCATCGTCGGGCGCTTGCAATGGATCTTGCTGGGGTAGCCAGCTACAGTGTGAGCATGGAGTTTCACGAGTACTTGATGTCACATCTCACCATGGAGCCACCGCCTGGCTATCATCAGGTTACACTGCATCAAGTTCTAGCAGCCGACCGAGCCGCTTGGTTGCGACTCGCCGAGAAGCTTCCTAAAGGGCTTCGCGCTGGTCCCGATGGTAAACTCCCGTTGGACGTCGAGCTCCCAAAGTTGCAGGTGCGACCCGAAGGTGGCTTTGCATCTCTTACCATTAGGACCTTCTACATCGTCATCCGGGAACGATCGCTGGAAGGCGGCCAGGGCAACGATTCGAAGATCCAAAGAACTGGAGGCAAGGGTAAAGGGAAGGGCAAAACCAAGACTAAAGCCACTCCTAAGTCTATGCCTGTATCCCTTAAAGATAAGTGGTCGCGAACCAAACGCGGTGTGCCGATCTGCTGGGCCTTCAACACGGAGGAGGGCTGCAGTGCAGCCCCCGCTGGAGGCAGGTGCCCGCGAGGTGTCCACCTGTGTGCTGAGCCTAATTGTCAGAAACCCCACTCTATTATCAATCATTCGAAAGTTGCCAGTGGGTGAGCATTTCAGAACGCAGGTTGTGACTTGATTGAATCACTACAGGTTTTCCTTAACCGTGCTAGGGCTCGGGTAACTGGTGTTTCTGTTGAGTCACTCTTTGGCGTCGAAGTTTTTGCAGGGTCTGGTCGCTTGACTTGCGAGCTCCGCAGGCTGGGGCTTAATGACAGTGTTGGTGTAGACAAGAATGTCGGCCGATGCTTGATCGCAGCGGTTTTGCGTCTCGACCTTAGTGACGAGCAAGCGCGTGAGCTTGTCATTCAAATGTTAGAAAACCCCAATTGTGCCTACGTTCATGTTTCTCCCCCAGCCTTGAGCCAGAAGCATCGCAGTTTGAAGCACCGTGATGGTGCCGATGCTTCATGCTATGCAGCCTCGTGTAGCTTGTTGTACGAGTTCTGCGGGAAGCTCTTTAGCATGTGCTGGTCGAAAGGCATTCTCTTCTCATGCGAAAACCCTGGACAGTCAGAGCTGTGGCGAACGTCACAGTGGTGCAAACATACGTTGTGTTTAAACTCCATTGATACTGTTTTTCACATGTGCATGTGGGGGTCTCTCAGCCCCCGTTTCACACGCATTGTTCACTCTGTGCCTACACTTATGCAGCTTGGTGTTCGTTGTTGCGGTGTTGGTCCCAGACACACTCACGAATCGCGGAACGTGCTTCATGACTCTACATTCCCCTTGGATCTCAGTCGTGCCTGGGCAAATGCAATCGTAGAGCAACTTGTTGCCTTGGGCGCCCTGCCACGTGCCCAGGTGCTCGTTCCTTGGATGAGTCCCGAGCTCCTGTACACCGTGAGGCTCAGGTGGCAGCAGCTTCACAACCAACACGCAAGAAAGTGCCCCCTCTTGTTAGTGAATTTCGCTGTGTGGCGACAATTGACACGTCTACGCTTTTTCTCGATGCAGCTTGCAAGAAACTTGAGGCGCCGGTTCCCATTCCTGCAGGTGGGGGCTCCGAATCTTGAGCTACAACTGTGGAGGACTTACCTCAGCCCTCTACACCGAGCTGCTTGTCTGGTTGAAAATGCACCGGCCAGACGTCGTTTTCTTGCAGGAGACGCACTGGTCTGAGGATCGTGCGTTGCTTCGGATGATTGGCATGTGATCTCCTCAGGCTGCAGTGCACACCACTTGGGAGTCAAGATCCTTTTGGCCAGGCGCAGCTTCCCTCAGCCGTGCATCCGCAGTGAAGCCCTTGTCTCGGGTAGGCTGCTACTTGTCAAGGCGCACTGCCACAACGGCACGCACTACCTTATCAACATCTACCAAAAAGTTCACGATGGAACCAAAGAGTGCATCAACCTGCGATCTGAGGTTTGGGATGCCCTGCAAAAGGCTATCGCTACCAGCCCAAGCAGGCACTCCTTAATTATAGCCGGTGATTTTAACACTAGCCTGCAACACCGCGCCCCATGCACAGGCACCGCTGTCATTACCAAAGGTAACGCTGCCGAGGCACAAGACGCACATGTCCTTCAACAGCTTGTGAAACAGTTTGATCTTCGTGCTCTTAACACCTTTCAGCCGACTCCCTGCAAGCATACCTACCAGCATCAGACCAAAACCGAGGTCAGAAGCCAAACCGATTACATCCTCATCCGAGGCCGGAGAACGGACTCACTGGCTAAACAGACCACCACTCTGATCGACACGGACCTGGGAGCATGGCGAGGTGGACCAAAGCACTGGCCTCTTCTGGCCTCGATTCCTGCTGACTGCTTCTACTCTTCGTGCACGCCTGCGCAGGAGAATGAGGCCAGATACATCAATACACAAGTCAGGCAGGGGAAGCTACTGTTAGGGGATGTTGAGGAGTTCCAAGCGGCTGTGCACGGGCAGGAGGAGCTGCAAACCTGGTTCCTGGCACAGAGAAGGCGGGTACGCCGCACCACAGCAATGATGCTCCTGTCAAACGCCTGTGGCAGTGTCACCGGCAAATAAAAACTCTGAAGCAGGACCCCACGGCGGGGGCTGCTGTGCAGCGTCTGGCCCTCCAGCGCAGATCCGCTCAGCGAGCAAGGTCAAGAGGCAAGCATTCATCGACGAGCGCGTTAGCCGGGCAACACAGGCCGCGCAACGTGGCGACATCAGAGAAATATACACCTGCAGGTCAACAAGATAGCGCCCAAAGTTGTACGCCGACAACCACAGCTCCGCGATGTTAGCGGCTGCATTATAACACCCGAGCAGGAAACTCAGACTTTGCGAGATTACTGGCAGCAGATCTATTGCAGCCACCATCCCAGGACCCCTGCCCCGCTCCATCAGTATCACCTGCCCGAGGCCTTGCTTCGTACTGCTCTTGCTTCACTGTCACAACACAAAGCCCTGCCGAGCCACTACGCCCCGGGCTTGGCCTGGAAATCTGCTGCTGCGTCAGTCTCTGCACTCGCAGAGCGCACTATCCTGCAGGACTGGCGTCATGATCACTTCTGGATTCCCCCAGAGTGGCGACATGCGTGGCTTTGCCTGATCCTGAAGGCGGGAAAAACGGGACGCAAGGCTGAGGAGTATCGCCCGATCGGGCTCACTGATCCGGTTGGCAAGCCTGTTCTGGGAGCCGTGCACCGACAACACCACCGGGCCGTCTATGACTCCGTGGCGCCGTATCCGCAATTTGCGTACCTGCCCCGGCGTGGTGTCTCTCAGGCCCTTATGCGTGCATTTCAGCATCTCCACCAAGCTCGGGAGGTCGTGGCACAACAACGTCTTACTCTGCAGCAGCGACATGCAGGCCAACGCAGGCAGCAGCTGGCAGGAGCAATCACGGTTTCCCTCGATCTCAGCAAAGCTTTTGACTCCCTGGAGCCTGAGTTCATGCATAAGGCTCTTGAAATGAGTTGCCTGCCACCGGAGGTGTGTCGACTGATTGAGAACTGGCATCACGGGATTATATACCACATTGAACACGAACAGTGCCGAGCTCAGATCAACTGCAATCGGGGGATTCGTCAGGGTTGTGCGATTTCTCCCCGAGTGTGGTCACTCTTTACCATACTCATCATGAGTGAAATGGGGCCGGAGTGGAGCCAGCGCCATAGCACGTGGTTTGCGGATGACGCACTGTTTCAGGCTATGGTCCGCTCCGAGACCGAGCTGCATCAACAGCTTAAGACGATCTCCAAGGCCTTGTGGGTGCTGCAAAAACTGGGCCTTTCTATTGCCCCCACCAAGTGTGCGGTTCTGCTGCATCTTGGCGGCACGGCTGTGCCAAACTTGTGAGCACCCACAACAAAAAGCCGCACATCACCTTTCAGCACGAGGACCATGTGTGGCGGCTGCCGCTCGTCTCTAAGCACGACTACCTCGGCGCCACTCTCAGCTACAGTCGCATGGAGGATCTTACAGCTACCAGACGTATCCAGGCGGCTCAGACTTCCTTTGATCGTCTCAAACCAGTGCTCACCCACAAAGGTCTCCCGCTTTTCATGCGTCTTCAGATTTGGCAGGCATGCGTGGTCAGCAGTCTCCTTTATTCGCTATCGCAAGTGGGATTGACACCCAGCGCTGCCCAGCGTGTCTCCGTGATCTTCTACAGGCAACTCAGACACATCACTCGACAGCCAGTTCATCTCACAGGCAAAAGCAACCAACAGCTGTGCCAGGAACATCGTCTATGCGACCCGGTCCACAGTGTCGCCAAGCGAGCACATAAACAAAAAGAGCAAACGGCTAAACTGCAGGTCACTCTCTCGACTCCTGACGCGCGCCTCAGCGATGACATCTTAGCCTGTGAGGCCCGCTTGGATGTCCAACTACAGCAAATTGTTACTGATAGGACCACCGACCTGCCCCAGCAGGCACCCAGAGAATTCCCGTGTCCACAATGCGACTACAAGGCAAGGAGCAAGACTGCTCTAACCAAGCACCGTAACAAAGTGCATCAGGCTGGACTGCAGCCCTCGCAGTATCTCTCCTGGAAAGAGGTGGACCGATTTGAGCATGGAACTGAAGGGCTCCCCATCTGCCGGTGGTGTAGCAAGCAATTTAGCTCCTGGCAGCAACTGCAGCGGCACATTCACGACAATGTGTGTCAACACAAGTCGCGTCAGGTGCCAGCAGACGTTGATACTGCAGCTGGCCCATGCAACATGTCCCAAGCCGAAATCGGTGATAATCCTCAGTCGCTGTCTCCGGCACTTGCTGACCAACCACAGAGAGTCAGCCCTGAGCGTCTCGACCTGCCGCACATGTCCAAGGCAAGCGATGATACTCATCGCCTGGCATCTAGCTTAGCGGCGCCACCTCTGTCGGCACCACCTGACGCCGGCATCACGGAACCTACTGCGCCATCCCGACAGCCTGTCGCCCGCGATCTGCAGGTCATGCGTACGATCGAACAGCATGGGCCTTGGGATGCTTTTCAACAGTGCCCACATCTGCAGGAAGAACTTCTGCACCATTGTTGCTTGTGCAGACAGTGGACACCAGCCCGAGGAGGTACTAAGATCCACCTGCGCGGCTCGCACGTGAAGGAGTGGGGGCAGGCAGGGAAAGTCGCCGAGCATCATTGTCTGAACTACGCCAGTCTTGTTACCAGCAGCACTGGATGTCCCTTCTGCCTGGCGCCCAAGTTTGCGGATAAGAGAGCTACGTCTGGCAGCAACACATCCAGTTCAACCTGCCTTTCCTCCGACGGCGCCAGCAAACCCAACACTTCCGATGATGAAGGCATGTGAGATGGCTGTTGGGGAATGCTTTCAGACATTCCTAGGTGGTGGTGCTGCACTGCCGAGCAACAGTTCAGCTCGATCTTCAATTGAGAACATGGTGTCGAGTTTGGCGAATGCTGTGTGGGAGAGGCTGCAGCCAAAACTTGTGGAACTTCAATTCATGTCAGCACTTGAGCACAGTGTTCCACTGGCACCTGCCGGTGCGCTGGCGGACCTCACAGCGTGGAATCCGTGTCTTCCTGAGAAGTCGGAGCCCTACAAGGCTGAGCAGGAGCAAATCGACCAGGAGGCGGAAGAGGAGGAAGCAGAGGAGCACGATGAAGAAGTAGTCCCTACCATCGACAGAGACCCTGTGATGCAGCCTGGCAGGGATTTGCATGCAGTTTACAGTGTTGTATTGTTTATATGAAACAGTTGAGGCTGGAGATCTTGGAGGACTACTATATCCCTGAGGATGTCAAGGACCAGTTCTTCCATGTGGCCACCCATCCCGATCTCCCATTGCAGCGCCAGGTCAAGCTCATGCCGCTTGAACTGTTCATTGATTCATTGTGCACCATTACATCCCTTTAAGACTCAGACTCACATGAATCAATCAATATCTGTAGTGCCAAGGATGAACATGCTGATGCGCCATGGTGAGAGACAACAGAGTACGAGCTGGCTGAGACAATGTGTGGGCAACTTGTCCTTGTTCGGGGACAGTGCAAGTCCTTAAACTCAAATGTGGTGAAGTAGTGAGCTTGTGCTGGCTACAGGAAACGAAATGTCCCAGCCACACCCGCCATCCGCTTCGACAGAGCGGCCGCCACTGGAACTGTTCGACCCGAGTTGAAGTGAGCTGACTGCCCGGCTGACTGAGCTGAAAGCTCCAATGAGATGTTGAGCTTTCATCCATGGCACTTTCTGGTGCTCGTACACTAAGTACCATACTCAGCTGGTGATTTGGTTGAGTGAATCTACTCAGCTGATTCCAGCTCTTCTGATTGGTTCATTCTCCTCGACTCACACAGACTCTGACAATTCCGTGTCAGTCAGTTTGAAGTTAATTCATGCTATCACCCAAGCACACACACACACACACAGAAACACATAATATAATATCATATCATACAGCTTCCAATGTGCTCAGGTGCTGGAGTTCCTCGAGTTGCAGGAGGCAGTGACATCGATCTCACTGGTGAGTTGTCGATGAAAATGTTGTGTTAGTCAGTCGTCTGGTCATAGATTCATGTTTTTGCAGCTGTTGGTGTCAAAGTTCAGAACTGCTCCGAACAGTAGTTACGCTTTGGATTCCCATGCTACTGGATGAACACTTTCACAATTGAGTCTCAATTGTCACAATTGCAGCATTTTAGAATTGAGAGGTGGCTGCTGAGGCCAAACGCAAATAGCATTTTTTCGCATGTGACTTTTCCTGGTGGCGATGGAGTGTCCTTTTTGCAAGCGTTGCCTGGGTCATTCATACTGGAGGAAATCCCAGTGGTACCAGAAAACAGCTGAAACGCCAATTCGGCACTACTTCAATTGTTGCCGTGACTGTAGCAATGTCCTGGAGAACCTGTATGTGGATCCACGTGAAGTGCGGTCGGCAACAATATTTGTGGCCCAGATGATTGATCTTTTGAGAGCAGATTCAGGCCAACTTCAGCGCAGGTTTCGGAGTGTGTTCCAGGGCTTGGCTGACTACCCATCACAATTTCGAAAACACATATCTCACGGAGGCTGCCTGTACTACATATTATAACACACACACACACACACGTATAATACATGTGTATAGGTCTGCTGCTCCAGCGTCTTGCAAATATAGAATCGAAACGAATAACAACTTCATTAACCCTTTTATATAAGGTAATGATCCGAAATCACCGAAAGTCCGAAAGACAAGCCTAAAACCCTGGATCAATCTTGAGTGGGTGGTCGAAGGCTTTCGATGGTTTCGGGAATGGGACATCGTTGGACGAGTTTTTAACAGGATGGGTTTCTTGGGCTCACAGTTTGAGGTTCCCGGATTTCAAAAGGGCCCAAAGTGCCAGGTTCCAGGGTTCAAGGTACCGCATTATGGACTTTGTGGGTGTTTATACTGGAGTTGATCGGGATTGGGGATTAATCCTTGGGTCTGAACCCAAACTAATATCACGATAAACAACTATAACACCATAACCGATATCGAAGGATTAGTCCTGTAGCAAAAGCAACCACACATTCCTGGACACCCGGAAGTTCTTGTTGGGGGCTACTTCAGTAAACGATTGCTGGTATCATGACCTTAAGAGGTGTATTCACTCAAGAGGCCTACCGTAATAGACTCCGATCCCGTCATAACTTTAAGATACTGCAGGGCACCTCAAGGCTCTATAGTGCTCTAGGGTACAGCGATTGTTTCGGGTCCCGTACCTGCTTCTGTAAACTTGGAAACCGACAACCCAAATAAGATACACTCCCAAATAACCTTAACCTTCCATCCTTTCCTTCGGTGGCGGACGATGCACGCTCCGATCAGCCGAGCTGGCCGGGGCCCTCGGAATTCCACAGCTTGCGACCTATAGTAGAAGCCAGAAAGTTGGAACATGACTTTAGGAGGATTAGTGCTAGGATCCCTTATACTTTACCTTTAGGGTATGAGGCCAATGATGTTCCAACTTTCTGGCTTCTACTGTATAGGGTTTTGGTAGTCGTAGAACCCTGGGTTCAGTGAAAATTGTATCTGGGGTACCTGGCATCTAGGGGCTAGATTATTTAGGGCCCCTTACTAGGTTCGCTGGGCAACCCGACGCGACTCTTCGAGCCTCAGGCCCATCAGCAGTAGATACCGCTGCATCAAACGTTTCATCGCAGTTGCTGCATGGCAGCGGACAGCTATCTTCTTCAAACGCCCTAAGAAAGATTCTTCCTCCCACACCGCTCCGATGCTCGGGTTGATCCGTGTTCTCAAAATGAAATCGGAAACATGATCGAAATAATGGTGCTTTGGTTTCAGTCTCCACAGACGCCAGCCTTGCGATTGCGAGAAGGTCGACAGCCACTGCCAACAAGTGAGATGACGTCGAATATGTCGGTATGATACCTGCAGTTGATTTGAAACCAGGACAACAATTATTTTTGAAAATTCAGAAACCCGAAGGATTTTCGATTTGCCCACACATTCCCCAGTTCCCCGCCTTTGAGGTGTCCTCGTCCATAACTAATGCAGCGTGGTCCAGCTGCACAATGGCAGAATGAATCGACCAAACGCAGACCGACACGAACTTCAGGGGCAGAACCTGGCAGGGAATTCCGTGGACTGTTGTATTCACTACCTTGAAACCCAAACCCAAACCCACGGCACACTTAAATCATGTATGCATGCTCATGACATGCCTCCGGTTGCGCTTTCGAAATCTCTTCGGCTTTCCAAGCCAGGAACCACAGTGAAGACTTTATAGCTGCTGCCTTGAAGGTTGAACAGAGTTCACGATCTTCGTTCATAGAACTTCCAATACCAATATTGCTCGGAGTGAAGCTGCGGACATTCATTCGTATCCTCGGGCTGTTTACCCAAATTAC